GTTACTAACTCACTTTTCTGGGGAACAGCAGCTGCAGAAACATCCCAAGCAGCTGTGTCCTTCCCCTTTCTCCATTCTCCCTCCATCAAAGCAAAGCTGTTTGGGGGAACCAAGGCTTCTCCTGTAAAAGCCTGCAGATCCAAACCTTCCTCTAATTAAGAAACATTTCACACATAGGAGACTTTTGGGGGGGATTTAGATAGCAGCAAAGTAAATAATTCAGTGACTTGGCAGATGTTTAGGAACTTCAAAATATGAAGGTTATTATCAGATTTATTTATATAAGGTACCTGGAGGGCTCAAGGCCACGTAAAGAGAAAAAAACTCCATCACTATAGTAAAAACCATGCCTTTTTCATTAGCCAGAGCACTTTAGCACATTATCTACAGTGGCTTGGGCACAGCAGCACAAACACTGCCTGAACACGAAGTGGAGCTTCACTGTGACCGCAGCAGCACTGCTGCAGCTTGCAGATCCCACAGCTCCATCAGCAGATGCTGCAGTGTGGAAACAGCCCCAAGGCCAGGGCTGCAGGAGTTTTGCTGAGGGCCCCAGCAAACTGAGCTTCTGCTCCCCATGAAGCCCAGCAGTTTATGGAGGAAAAGGCTGCAGAAGCATTTTGACACTGCATTCACAAATATAACTAATGAACCACTGCTAAGTTTTCCCTCACGAGTGGCTGCAGCTCTGCCTGGGAAACACTCCACAGCTCCTGCTCAACTTTCCACACCTCTGGCATCATCCCCACATGGGATGGGGTTGTGCCACAGCAACAGAGAGCTGGCAGTGGGGAAACTTCAGTCTTAGTGTTGCCTGAAGCATTGCCCTGTGGACAAAACCAGTTCTCTCATGTACAAGTGGTGGAAATCTGCTGCAACACATCTCCAGGGACAGTCCAGTATCAGGCACATGCCCTTTCAGCACTTTATGTCCTCCCTGATGCCAGTAACATGGAGGGTAAGTAGAATTTAAAGAACTTTGGCTGGCTCTGAGGAGCTAATGCAGTCATGCTGGAACAGGACAAGTCACCACCTGGGTATGCAACATTACCACAGTGCCACTGAAGCCAAGTAGTGTATTTGAAGTGGTTATCCACCAAACAACCAAAACCATCACATTGTCAAGGATGAACCAGACATAGATTGCTCACAGTATTCCTCTAACTCAAACTCCAGGAGAAAAAACAAATATCCGTCTAAAAATAATGGGAGGTGCAATAGGGTTTTTGGGCTGGACTTTGGCCCAGAGAGCAGGCAAAGCTCTTATCTCTCCATTGCCACTCCAATAAGAAACACAGAAAGACTTCACAAGCACAACCTGACCCTCCTCCTTCCAACCCACCCCACAGCTACCACCCCCTCAGCACACCCTTCCCAGGGATGGGCAGCCCCGGCTCTTCCACCAACCACCAAACCACGCACATCTCAGCCTGGTGCTGATTAAAGCTCTTTAGTCACAGGTTCATTTACTAATTGCATTTCAGACTGGTATCTTCCTGGGTGAAGGGGAGCGGGCGTTGACAGTCACAAGATGCCCAACAGCAGATGCCCCTTTTCTGCCACAATCAAACCTCGAATTCAGAGGAAAGAATATAGAATGCAAGGCAAATCCTCCACAAGTAACATCTGTTTAAAACTATTTGCAGTAACCACAGTAACCACTTATCCCAAAGCTACCCAGCACCAAAGAGGCGGGATGTGGGAGCTCTGCAGCACCAAAGTGCATCCTAGACAGCCTCCATTAAATCTCACCTAACCAGGAATATGTACCGAGCACACATTTGCCACAGGGGTCCCTATAGTACCAGCAAAATATTGCCTGAGCAGCTATCACAACTGCTAAACTCACCCTCACCTTGGCAAGCAAAGATGCTCATGCTGTTCCCCTCTGGCCTACATTGCCCCATGGCACACACTCATTGCTCCCCTCTGTACTTTGTTTTGCAATTACCTTAACAGCAGAAGAGCCCCAAAAACAAGCAATTACAAAGCCACAGTCTCAGAAGACAGCAGAGTCTTTCAGCAGCCCTCACATCCCAGAACAAACATGGGGTCATATGTGCACACTCAGCCTTTCTCAGACCAGCCAGCTAAAAGATGCTCTGTTCTAACACAGTGCCTACCCAAGGGACACAAGAAGGGAAGGTCAATCCACTATTCTCACAATGGTAGAAGATTTAAAATAAAAATTAAATACATGCAGAGGCTTGACACCTACCTGAACAGAGCAACCTCCATCTCTCAGATGCCAGGGGAGCAGAGCCAGCACAGACCACAACAGAATGGCTCCAAAGAGTGCTCATCCCACCTGGGCACCACACAGCATTAATAACTTGCAGCATTTTAAATCACAAGTCTCAGATTTGACATCTTCATGAAGTTCCTGTTTCATGGTACGGTTTGAGAAATCCCAGTTCTCATTTTGAAACAATAAACACAAACACATGCCTTTCACAGAATGAAAATATAATTTAAAACAAGGAGCAGGAGCAGGAGCAGCATACAAATCAAGGAGAAATCCAAGACATGCTTAGGCAAACAAAATTAAGACTTAGAGTTTACCTCAGAAGTTTTCAAAGGATTGAACCCTTGAAATCAGAAAAACTAGTTGTTAGACTTCTCAGCCCTACTGAAAGAGTTGACGAAGAACTACTGGCTGCTTACAGCACTTGGACAAAATGGATTTGCCTCACAAAACCAAGAAGAAAAGCCGACAGCATGCTCACTCCTACCCCACACCAGTTCTTGCAAGCAAAGGGTAGGAGACACTTCAGCCCCTGGCAATTGGGGCTGGTAAAACCTTATCCAGCTGGGAGCAGGAATGTGGCTTAAAGGAGCCTCTAACAGCAAAATAAAAAAAAAACACAGCCTGATTTTTTTATATATAAGCAAAGCCAACAGGTGTAGTAAAGTGTACACTTGTGAGCTTTGGGAGTACTAGGGAGATGTCACTCTAGAAAAAGCTGGAAGCAGTAAGCCAAAAAGGACAAATGAGCTAGAAAGCTTCCAACATATCTTCGACTAGGAGCACTTGCAGCCAGCAGCATTCCACACTTGCTCCCTTAGGGAAATGAAAAACAGGATCAAGGTTTGCAGCTGAGCACGGAGGCAACAAGTTTAACACTCAAACACATATAGAAAAACAGCAGGGTATTAAAAAAAAATGTATTATGGCCCCTCTGAGAGGGCATCATTCTGCTGCAGGGAAGTAAAAAAGCCAGGTCAGTACTTTCCCTTCCCCGGTGCCTGCTCTGTCCAGTTCTCCTGCGTCAGTGCCAGCAGCAGCCGAAACGCGGACAAACCAGGAATTACAGCCCCACCTATTGGAGACTGGGAAATGATCCACACCCTCCTATTTTGCAGCTGGGCAACCCACCACCATCATCCTCCCGACATCTGCCAGGTGGAAGGGATGCTCGCGCGTTTGTTTGCCTGCTCCTAGAAAGCCGCTTCCCTTAACATGCCCGCGTATGAGAGTGGCAAAAGGCCGGTATTGTCATCCCGATCTAGCTCAGACCCAAAAAGCAAATATCCACACTATCTCCTTCACTCTCGGCATCCCCCGGCTCTCCAGAGGTGAGGGGCAAACAGCCTCTGGAACCAGTTTCTTGGACAATGCTAACAAATTCAGCATTCCAGGTAAGAACTACGGCTGCACCCTGACACTTCCAGCCACAGCACAGGAATGAGAAGTGCTGAGATGCCCTGTTATGGCAAAATCTTCTCCATCTTTGTCACAACTTGTCCTCATGGCAGACCAGCTCGGAGTTTTGCAACATGCCACGTTTCTCACACCGAGCTTCCTGCTTTGCATAACCCTAAACCTAACCCAAACTCACATATACAGTGCATAGGCGTGTAGCCCCTTTGAGCACCTGAAATGTTGTTTCAGTCCTCAACACCCAACTCTGGCCCATACAGCATGCCCCGTTCCCCTCTTCTGAGCTGCCTGCTGTAAAAACCCAAGCCTCATGCTAAGAGTAGTGGGCACACCATGCCCTTGGAAGGTGGTCTGTGCCAGAGGCACAGGTGCACTATGGTACCTTGTCCCGCCCAAGAGTGACCATCAAGACTCTGTACTAAAATGAAGAGAATTAGCTGTGTGACTCAACTCACCCTTCTGGGTGTAGTGCAGTGGCACTTAAGCATGAAGACAAAGATTTTCCACAAAAGCAGGTTTCTCTGGCCTTCAAAGCAGGGTTAGGGAGCCATCATTTCAAATGATGCCATGTCCTTTAAGGATTTATTTTATTCATGCTTGAACAGTACTAGTAAAAACAATCTAGTACTCAGTGAAATAAACACTGACAGAAATATTTAGGACTGTCACATGAGAAGATACACATTAGTTAAATTCAGGCTTTATTAACACTTTATAAACTGAGGTTTAAGCAGCAGCCCAGAAAAGAGATGTTATTTCAGCTATTGAGATAACAATCAAAAAAGTATCTTCACTGTGTAGTTTTGTTCATCAGTGACTGCTGAGTGTATAAATAAAAATTACATGCTATCCCAGTTGGACAGTAGAAAATGGCAGTGAGCATTCTGAAAAACACAAGTATTTAAAGAGCAAATAAAAATAGGCTCAGAAATCAGCATCCCACAAAGCAAGGAATTCAGAAAATCCCTGTTGTGACGTAGCAAGACTGTGCCCATGCCCAAGGTTATCACAGTCTGCCTCTTTGTAGGGCTGATAATCAACAATGTTCTTCATTCCCAGTGCTACATACAGCTGTAACACACAGTTCTACCTTTACGTGTTATACACACTTGATGGAGATGAGGTTTTCACAAACTCAGAGGCTTTGTGGTTTTCACAAGCTCTTGGCTGGGAACTAATAGTGCCAAGCATTGGCTAGAGGAAAGAAACTTGGCCTGAAATGCTGACCGATACCTCTTTGGAAGCTGCAGGGCAATGGGAAAATGCTCCAGCAACACCTTGGTCCTAGAGCAATGATGATGTAAATCTGATATGTTTTTATTTTTCCTTCCTCTGCCAGGACACACGTATTCATGACAGGCTTCATCTGCCCAGAGAAGGTTCAAGATACACAGGTTTGGAGAGTGCTGCATTCACGACAGTTCAGATTTACTATGTGCTTTACTCCATGTAGAGTCTATCTGCATCATGCATATTAATCCAAGGGAAAAAAAGAACTCTAAATTACAAGATCCACTTCAACTGCATGCTTGTAGTCCTGGGCACGGAAGAAGCCTCTAAGAGAAGCAGTGAGGTGAATTCATCAATCACACACACCTCGGTTTCCTTTGCATACTTACTAACGTGCTGCACTGATTTTAGTAAATAGGCTTACAATATCAGCATACCATACTCCTAAAATTCAGCATCAAACATCCTATAGCCATTTTCACAGTTTCATAAAGCAAGACAGACTTCAGATGGAAAGAGCGGAACATTCTTGCAGATTGAATTTAAGTCAACAGAGATGAGTCTCTTCAACTGTGCATAAAACCCTTTGCTTCCTGCAAAAGAAAAGCCTTGGTGTAATCCTACAATACTTGGATACTAAAAATATCATGATTATTTGGGCAAAGAAGTGACTGGAGAGGAAAAGGAACATCTGTGAATGGTGGCATATAAATTAGGGAGGGAATTAGAAAGCAGATGTGTATGAGAGATTCATGGATCACGTAGTAGCATTATTGGCAGGGACTCTCCAATAGCTCATTTCTCCAGGGGGGTTCTGTAATGCTCAGCAACACTAGTCGGCTCCTGCCAAGACCAAATGTGAAAAAAGGGTATCCTAAGAAGTATATCTAGCCCAACTCAACCCACTTCAAACTACCCAAATCAAATACAGACAGATGGTCACAGAGAAAGGAAACACCAGCATGACCCTCAAGGGAAAAAAATTGTTTTCACTACATGGAGACCTCTGCCTAAACCATTTTGAGTCAAATCGGATCAATTCAGAACAGAGTTTTAAGTTCTCTGCTGTCCTTTTTCAAAATCAACAATGTAATTGCTGGAAAAAACCCGCAATAATAAACAAGGCACTATCTCTAGGATTGCTCCTACCTCCTCTTCCTGTTCCTCTACGCTGCCTCAATAGATCACATCTGCCAGGTGTTTGTCACAGGGAAAGCTCTGGCAGATGTAGGATCTTTTGCTACATCTCTGCTGCTGCCTGCACTCCTGTGCCGAGAATTCTCCTTCCCTGTGCCTCCGGTACGCTGAGGAACACAGCCTTCCTGCAATGTGCCCTCTGCTGCTGCAGCCAAGGCTGCCTTTTTTTCTAAAAGGCTGCTGCTATTCATCCCCTCTGCAGAGCTCCAGGCAAATGAGCTCTTCCACTGCAGAGGTCTCCTGACCCTCTTTTCCCATGATGTGTAGATCCACCTCACTGACAGTCCTTGCTTCTAAGAAGAATCACAGTCATAAAAGCCAAGGGGATACATCAGCAAATCCTTAAATGAAAACAACCACGTTTCACTAACATACCAGAAATATTACAGTAACAAGTACTCAGATGCAGCTCTCAGTTATTTAAAACAGCACCTTCACCCACACAGGAGCTGATGACTGCTACATACTCATTAACTTGAACATTTACGCTTATGAAGGAGGTTACAACAGATAAAGAAAAGGGACAATGGTGAAACAGTAATAGCAGCGATTCACTGTACAGAGGGGTAAGACTATGCTCTGAGTTTTGAAATGTTAATGCAGAAGAGTGAAAAGAAAGTCAAGAGCAAAAAGTTATTTGGGGCAACCTGAGATCTGGAGAGAGAATCAGCAGGTGCTGTACAGGCTGTCCCCAGTCCAGGTACAAAGCCCACCCAGAGTCCCAAAGCGACCAGGTCTCAACCCACCCCAACACACCGGTGACAGACCTCAGGTGACAGGAAGGAGCCTCTCACTGCTGGGTGCTGGAAAGTGAAGTACCTGAGGATGTGTCACAAACACACATCTGAAGAACATAGTGCACAAACAGAACAGGCCCCTTTCAGGGCCAAATGGTGAAGTGCTTATATGCCTCTTGGCTAAAAGCTTTCTGTTATTAACTATTTAGTCATCTTGCATGTACTAGGTAAAGACAACAGGAAAAAACATCATCCTCCTTTGGATACGTGCTGTGCAATAATATACCTGACTTGCTTTAGGTTTTTTTATTGCTACTATGCACTATTACAGTAAAATCAAATGAGCACATGTGCTAAGAGCAAACATTCTTTACAGGTTAATTGGCAGTGCTGAAGGTACAAAAAAGAGAATCCGAGACCACAGCAACATGGAAAAAAGGATCCAATTTGATCTCCAACAAAAACCCCCATTTCACTTGGTGAAGGGTCTACCTCCCACTACTGCTATTAATCACAGCAATATAATCCTCAAAAGAGTTAAAGCAGACAAAAGAATGTGGAGGTTTTTTCCTGAAGATTACTGCAGTATTTTTGAGGAAGGAACTGGCAATACTGATGCTAGAAGCTGGGGTTTCAGCAAGGGAGCAGCTCCCACTCAAGGGCTCTCCTCTCCACACTGTGCAGTCAGACCTCCCACACCCAGTCACCAGAACCTTCTTTGCTCTGCGAACTTGTGAAACCTCAGGTAGAACAATGAAAACACTCCGCTTGCCTCACCCACCCGGGGTGCAGGGAGTGGTGGAAGAACCAGCTCCACCCCTTGTCACCTCCCCTCCGGTCCCACATGCAAAGCCACCCTAGCTGGACTCCTGCTGGCCAGTAGGGAGCTGCCTCATCACTGGGGGCATGGAGCCAGGCAAGGCGGGAAATGTGAAACCCGTATGAGCCCTGGTGCTGTGTTTTGTCAGGCAAGCAGGCAGGAGGGGCAGCCCAGCCCACTGCTGCAGGCAGAGACAGAACCCACAACCCCCAGCTCCACTGAACAGGATGCAACAGACACCCCACCCTTGGCTGAGGACTGTGCCCCACACTACCCACACATATCACAAGACAACAAGTTTACAAAAGCAGTACCAGGCACAGTGTATAGTAAACCAGGCTTTATTTCTCTCACAGTACAGTGGGACTGAAGTTAAGACCACTCTGTGGCAGTGCCAACCCACTCAGTAGCCTGGGCCGTGGGAGCTGCTGACCAATCTTCAGTGGCAGGCTGGGCGCTCCAGTCCTCTGTAACCACAAAGACAACACCACTTAAATGCACCCCAGCTCTTCCCACTCACAAAACATCCCCCCCTTCCCACAGACACCCCTCAAACTGACCTGTGGGGAACTGCTGGATGGGCACAGACGGGACTTGCACTCCCTCAGACCAGTCTGCAACCTCAGGCTGAGGAGGAGCAGTGAATTCAGGTGCTGGGGCCGTCCATTCGGTCTGGAACTCCTCCTTTGTGACTGCTTTCTCGGCAGCAGCTTGCTCCTCCTTTTCAATCTGCAATGGAAGAGCCCAGCCTGAGTCTCCCAGGAACACATCACCACACCTACCATCACACACCAGACAGCAGGCACTAACAGGCAACACAATTAACCAACCACCACATTTAAGTGTGAAGTGCAGTTATTATTTTGGCAAAAGCCATCCTCAACAGCAGGCACACGGGACAATGGGGTTGGAGCACAAGCAAAACATCTCAGAGACACGCTTCCTGCCATGGGGCTCCTACCTCCTCAGGATCTCTGTAGAAGTACAAATCAGGCATGACTTCCCATGGGTGCTCACGGGAGATGGTGCCACGCATGCGCAGGACCTCCCGTGCCAGCATCCACCACATCAGACCCACTGAGTGGGCTCCCTGGAACAGAAGAAAGTAGGTGAGAGTTTCTGTAAAGCTAAACCTTTGAAGAAAGAGCAAAAGACTTATTTGTACTCAATCCAAGGTTCCTGTGTGGCAAAAGAAAGACATTACTTGCCCATACCCAGACTTGTATACTTAGACACAAAAAAAAGGGCAACTTTTCACATTCCCAGTGACACTTTCAGGTCTCAGCAGGAATTCCAGTGCATGTCAGTCACCAACATGTGAGTCTGTTGTATACAACATAGCCCAAGGTAAATCTCTTGCTATGGAGTTTCATGCTGGTCACCATCCCATGTGAATCTTGTCAAAAAGACAGGGATTATGCTCATCACATATGTTGGAATGAAGAAACTGAAAACTTGATGAAATAAGCAAAGCTTACACACATGCTCAGACGTAGCTTACATTAGTTTTGGTGACTGACATCTAGATAGAGTTTAAAGAAGCTTCTCATTTTCCTAGACTTTACCTTTCAGGTGATTTCTGACAAGGTAATGTTTCAGAGCAGTTCCTTCATCAGTTCACTTTATCTTTCATTCATATTCATAATCTGTGGCAAGAATAACTATCAAACTCCACTCACTGGGCCACAAAGACCCTCATGGCATCACTGAAATATCTTGCCAGGTTACTATAGCACACGTCCTACACTTGAGAGTTCCTTGGCCAGAAATCAGCCTCAGCTCCAAGCTCCAACTGTGTGCAGTTTATCTCCTCCTCCCCACCCGCCTGCCAGTTTGCAAGAGACAATTATTAACTTGTTCCCCTGGGAGACACACAAGATACAAGCCAAATCTCCCTTGCAGAAAGCATCCATCTTGCAAACACAGGGCATGCTACGGAAGAAGCTGCTTGGAATGTTACAACAAAGCCATTACCTTGTTATTGCAGGGAATAGCAATATCCACATAGCGCAGCGGGGAGTCGGTGTTGCACAGCGCGATGGTGGGGATGTTGACATAAGAGGCCTCTGTCAGGGGCTGATGGTCAGCCCGGGGGTCCGTGACAACCAGGAGTCGTGGCTCACGGAAAGCTGCTTGGATCTGATTGGTGAAGGTACCGGGGGTGAAACGTCCGGCAATAGGAGTAGCCCCAGTGGCAGCAGCAAACTTCAGAACAGCACGCTGCAAAATGGACCACAGCAACGGTGAAGCTGGAAAACCGCATTTCAACCAACTCACCCAGGCACTGTCAGTGAACACGCACAGAATTTAGCTGAACTACTTGTTTCAATATCTGTGAAATCAGGGCTCATCATCTCAGAAGGAGACAAAAATGTTTCTGAAAATAGCCACACCATGAGTTTAAAACGTCATATCCACCAGTAAAGCAGGAAGT